ACCCTGAAACCCCAAATCCTCTGAATCCTAAACCCGAAAAGCCCTATAACCCCCATTTAAACCTATATAAACCCTAGATCAAAGGGTTCCATAGCCATGCTGCCTCGCAATGCCTCCTGCCTGCCTGTTTGGGTGCTGCCTCACATGTGTGCTGTCGGACTCATGCGGCCGTCAGAACTCGTTTTTTTGCATCCTCGCTGGACTGATTGGCACCCTATGTCTTGACAAATCCTTCTGACTTGTCCGCGACCCCACTCTGCGACCCCTCGGAAACTCTCTGCTCCCCGAAGCTGCTAGGTGCTAGCACAGTAGCATCGGCTTATGCTACGATCCCAGGTGAAAATCACATGCAAGTTCCATTTGGCGAGTATTGCTTCGGGTTTTGCATAGGGTTTCTGTCACCCCACTCGGCGTCGTTTTGACGTCGGCTCTTGCGGCAGCATGGCCTTTCGCAAGAAACTGTAGACCATGTAGAAGGCCTGCCCTTTGGATCGCTTGGCAGGAGCAAGCTGTCTCGGGTCGTCTCTGGACTCGTCGATGCACATCTCGTCAAGTTGCTCGTTATATGAGCAACTGCAACTGCTCCTTAGATTTTGCGAACAGAAAGACGGTTTAAGGTTAGCATGCTTTTTGTTTTGCTAGAAACTTTATCATTCAAGGGTCTTCCCATTGTACTGCCGGCCGCTTGGCAACCTCCCCTGAAAATGAGGTAAGCTCTTGTCTTTGTGTAATGTGTGTGTGATCGAGCATAGGTCGGGGATGGTGTATCGCTCGAGGAGCCACTCTGGCACTACTGTCGCCTTCCAAAGAAGGCGTTTGCTTTCACGCCTCTCCTCCTCCTTCTTCTCTTCATCCACCATCTCCTCATCTTTAGCCTCGAGCCCTGGCATCGGCTCCGGCTCTTCGACATGGGCGGCACAGGCTTCATCTCTGTTGTTCTCACTTGGATGGGCACACACATTGTTCTCCTCAGGGGTAACACGAACCCAAGTGCAGCAAAACAACAACCGAAGGATGAAACCTCCAATCCTGATGTAGTGACCACTTTCCCCTTCAAATTATTTTCACAAGTTCTCAGAAGCATCTACAAGAACTGTGCCTCCTCTTGCTTGTCCATTGCATCCAAGAGCTCATTCGCGGCCATTGCACCCTCGTTGTCAGCCAGCTGTTGCCACACATTCGCCTGAGGCGAATTATTCTTTCAAGTTGTGACAGGAAGCTTACAAGACACAAAAACAGAAAATAATCTAGACGAAGATTGTTATTAAAATTCAGGCTGCATCCTCATCTTCTTCGTTCTCGTCGAAGGTGCTGTCCTGTGTTTTCTTCTTTCTTCTGTCCTCCTGTTCTTTTAGCAATGCCTCCACTTTCTGGGTCTCCTGCTCGCTGCACTGCTTCCGGACTTCATCTAGAGTGAGGAGTTTTCTGATCTTTGTCGCCTTGTTCGCGCTCTTCGCCGTCTTCAAATCGTTCATCGCCAGCAACTCACTCAAGACGTGAGAGCTTGTCGTGTGAATCTTGTTTTGATGAACCAGCCAGGCCAACAGAGACCAGGAAGACTGGCTGCGACGAAACAAAATTCCACATCGCATTTTGTCGTACAAGACGCCTCCAAGCAAATGGACGGAGTATTCGAAAATTTGCACCTGACAGACAGACTTAGAAAACTCATCATGACCTAGCATTTGTTCAGCGACCTAGACAAACAAACCAACACCTTTCCCTCGCGAAGCCTCCTTGTACTTCAGCACGATTCGTTCGAACATGTTCCTTAGCAAGAAAAGAAAATGCATTGGTCACTATGTAAACTGAAACAAAGACGACTAATATTTGTGCAAGGCTCTGAACAGGAGGCATCACCAATGCGCGGGTGCATTCATCATTGTTCTTTAGTGGATCGACCCACACAGCTTTGCAGCTGGCTTTGGGCACCCTTGTCTCGTCATCTTCAAGAGCTGGAGCTGGCCCTTTGAAACTGTACGGAATCTCTTCCAGGCGAATGACCTCAGGGAATCACAGGACTGTCAATACACGTGAACACATACATTGTTTTTATGTTCGTTTTTTTTGCAGCCACGCAGCATAGGACACGGCGGTGTTTGTCCCACAGCACAGGTAGAACTGGCCTTCTGTCTTCAGTAGCATTCCCCTTGTGCACATTGTTGGAACCCAGAAGTGTCTTTTGGCCTCGACAGCACTGATGTCCATCCTTAGTTTGTTTTTATGTTTGGGATATACATGTTGTTTTCTTGGCACTGCTAACAAGATTCCTCTTTGCCAGCAGCAATCCTTGCATGGAGTTGAGCTCTTATTTGTTGTGATGGAAAGCTGTGGTTGTCTGGAAGCCCTTTTGGATCCCGTCGTAGCTGATCTTTGTGCCTTGGATACCGGCCCACATCTTTGTCGTATGAAGTAAGAGGCAACAACAAACTCGTTCAGCTAATTTGGATCCAGGGGCTAGGAGCTGCCGAAGAAGGGGTCCACAGCTTTGGTTTTAGTCCGCGTGTTGCTCGCCCTTCCCAATCGCTGGCGTCAAGCTGCACGGGCTCGACGTCGGGGTCCACGCATAGTCTGCGATGCATTGCTCGTACCGAAACGGACATCAAATTGGCCATTGACCCGTTGTCGGGCTTGCATGAGCGGTTGCAAGCGTCTTGCATTTGCTGGAACAACTGCTCTACATTCGCCGAACTGGCAAAGGCTGGGAAATAGCATTTCACCAGGGCAACCAAATCGTCCTCGAAGCTGCTGTCACCGCTGTTGATCGATGAGAGCTCAAGAGCAGTTGCCAGGTCACGGTAACACTGGTGCTTTGTGTAGGGGCAAAGACCATGGATCACATCCGCCTCTTCCTTCTGCGATTCGAAAGCAAGCACGGTGTGCCATTCACTGAGCAGTCTTTCTTTCATCATCCTTCTCGTCGATTCTTGCAAAGTCGGTGCCCCGAGAACTGCAAAAGCATTTGGACAGCACTCAAGCTGCAACGCGTACAGTTGCAGTTCATACGTGCATGACAAGAACACGTCCAGACATGACAGCAACATCGAGTACTCGGAAGTGGTTCTTTGCAGGCGTAGTTCCAGCACCTTGCTTCTATCAATTGTCAAATCTTTCACTCGCGTTGTGCACAGACAGGCTGCTGCGCGCGTGTTTTGTTCCCCGCGAAAACGAAGCTGATACGACGAACTCAGGTCTGAAACTGAGCAGGTATTCTTCAGCTCACACTAATTTCAGCAGTACCTGCTAATTAAACAAAATTTGTTGACCTTACTGAAAGGGGTCGCGGTCGTACAATCGAGCTTTCAACTTTGTTCCTAGGAATTCAGCGCCACCGTAGACATAGAAGATTCGATGTCCTCTCTGTCGTCCCCAGGCTCGTAGTTCTTTTCGAAAACGACACATTCGGGCCTCCCAAGCTCTCTTGCTTCCCTCGACTTTAGGCGTTGTTGGTGGCGTGTCCAAATCATCTTGGCTCTGCGAAGCTAGGGTCGTTCTGATTCTGGCATAGTCTGGGTCCTTCTCTTTCACGGACTGAAGGAGCTTTATCCTCTTCTCAATCTGGTTCTCACTAGCCATGGCCAGAGGTGTAGCACGTGGGGGCCTGAAAAAATTAACTGGCAGCTCGATCCTTGTGGTTGCGGGAACATGAGACACGTTTTCTTTTTTTCGGGTGTGGGGACGGACAAAAGCACAGCAGGCACACGCAGTTTATGCGGTACAAGTTAAGTCAAGCTGCGCCATTGTCGTTCGGTTCGCACACATCCACGGCTAGGTTCAGAGCCGCCCAGCTGGTGTAGCTCAGAGCATTTTTTGCGGTCTGGTGAAGTAGATCTCGAAATCCACCATTGTTGATCCAGTTGCAGTGCTCGTGGGAGGATTTGAGGTTGCTCATTGTTCGTTGCTTGGTTGGGTCGAAGTTATGCTGCAGACACGTTGCAGGCACTCCGCTGCTAAGTGCAGGCAAGTTTCGGCCTCCAAGGTCATGATGCGGAAGGGATTCACCACGTTGCGTAGATATCGGAACATACACTGTACGTCCAGGTCAAGCAGAGCCTGCGTGGTCAAAACACAAGTCCAGAGTCATCCACACTTGCACAAGCACCGTGGACATGCCTTTGCCGCCATGTCCACGACTTTGTCGAAGTGGCTCTTGGAGCTGGCTCCCGGGGCACGGCCAGCGGGCTCGAAAGGGTTTGCACCAACCTCCATCATATTAGTTGGATTGCGAGTTTCTTTCTAGACTAGGCATTCCGGCCTCCAGACCTGCCCACACCAGCAGCAACAATGTTGCCGACATCTGAAAGTTTTGGGCAATGAATGCCCAGCTGCACCATCTTTTGAAGTCGAAGTGGTCTGCGTGAAACCTTCAATGACAAATGACATTGCTTAAAAACGACTCAGGCTAAAGATGTTTTAGCTGAGATACTTGCTCACCTTGCCGATGATGACACAAATGCGATCGAAATTTACTTTCTTGTCCGAAGAGTACTCGTAGTTGTTCCTGAAGATGAGCAGACATGTGTCTTAGAAAGCCTGGCCTGAAAATCTTCTTGAATCCGAGGCGCTCTTGGAGTATGGAGGCACCGAACATCTCTTGGAGCGTATCGTTCGGCTCAGCCTCCCGTGCGCAAACAGGCTGGTTCGGGTTGAGATTGCAGGGCACATTGCTGAAGTAAGAAAAACTGCGTTCGAGGTACTACTTCCAAGTAACGAGCACCAGCAGCGGACCAGCTCCGACCAACAGCTCCTGTGCCCCAAGGACTCTTCTTCGACCGAAAGAGCCACGATGTCAGCACAACCGTTCCTTGGCGGATTGACAATCTATTCTCTGCAGGACAAGCGCAAAGCAGTAAGCAGTAAACTGGGCCTCTTGCTCTTGATGTCAGCGTTGCAGCCCATGACTTTGCCAAAATGGGCATGCATTTTATGCCTTGGCGCAGGATGCAGTTAGCAGGCACTTAGTAACAGGCCTAGCACAGCATGGCCCGGGGGGTTTGTATTCAGTTGGGCTGCAGGCTATCGCGGTTGAACATCACAGCAACGTTCTGTGAGCACAGATATTCGTATACTGCATACAGTGCCGAGCCCTCGTCCGGACACAAGGACAGTCTGGTGTGGCATCCGCTTGCACCGATGCGTGGAACATCCCAGGACGCTTGGCCGGTTGAGCGGTTGACGATGTAGGGCTTGCGAGTGCCATCCTTGCTTTCATGCACCATGCGAATTTCCTCGTCCGGGGATACGGGATGTAGATGTTCTTCGGGAATGCAGGAATCCAGGTCGGTCTGCAACTGTTGCAAGATGTGATTCACGGCTTTCAGTTGTTCTTTTGACGCCAACCTTTCCTCTTTGATCCTTGCTAGCGTCTTGGGCCTGGGTGGTGGTTGTGGTTGGGTTCAAGTCAGCGCTGCAAAGAAATTGCTCATGGTGTTTGTTGCAAACTAGATTCATTTTCGTCTTCTGCTCCTCCTTGGCATCATTTGCTTGAATGTGGGCCAAGATGGAACCCTGCTCGGCGCCAGCTGCCATCTTCTCCTCCTTTGAGGCCCCTGATACCAGTAGATCAGCCAGCCGTTGGAGCGTCATGACACATATGCGGTTGTTCACAGAAACGATGGGGATCCAAACCTGAAGGCTCACAAGACTTTCCCCTGCGAGACCTAACTCTTGCAAGCCAGGCAGCGTCCATCTTGGCCTTTGGACTGGCGTCACAGATGATGTTGAGGCCAGGCGTCCTCATGGCTGCCATCTCCTGCGAGCTAAAGCCTAAACCCTAAACCCTACTAGAGCCTAAACCCTAAACCCTTAAACCCCCCTAAACCCTAAACCCTAAACCCTAAACCCTAAACGATAAACCCTAAACCCTAAACCCTAAACCCTAAACCCTAAAACCCTAAACCCTAGACCCTAAACCCTAAACCCTAAACCCTAAATAATACACTACGTACCCTAAATACCTTAAAACCCTAATGCCCTTAACCCTTAGCTCTAAGCTCTAAACCCTCAACCCTTAAACTAAACCCTGCCCAAATCCTGTTCATGTATCGGTCCTGTGCGATGATGTCAGCACTCTTGTTCAGGTAACGGTACACGAAGTCTGCGGATAGCCTGTTGTAGATTCGTGAAAGAGGACTAGCACTTAAGAAAACCGCACACAAATCATCCGGCCTGAAGTGGTGGGTAAGGCATATGTCAGCCAGTCCCAACTCTTCGAGATTGCTGTCTTGACCGCGACTGCAAAAACCGCCACCACGCGACAAGAATCGTTCGAAAGCCAGGATGGACTTGTACTTCGCTTGCAGTCGCAGCGATCGGCCGTCCCTTAGTAAGACGCGGAGGCAATGCTCATGAGGATAGGGGGGTGGGGGGGGGGTCAGACTAGTCATGCTTGATGCAGCAAGTTTCTTGGATGCGGGGTGGAAGGCTTCTCCTCTTTCGGGCGTGGGCAACGAATCAGAGAGGCTGTGTACCAAATGTCCCTCGCCCAGCTGGCAAATGTTGTGCAGCAGCCGCTTCTGCAAGCGACCGAATCGAACGTTGGCCTGGAAAATGGGTTGTCTCTCGTTAGACAGACAGAAATTAGACCGAGAAACCACTGTATTTCAAGCGAGACTCTTCAATCTCTTGTTGGTACGGGGCCCTCATCAGAAACCAGACGGCAACAGCCACGCTGATGCCTAACACAGTAGCACGATGTAAAGAAGAGAAGACTGCCGTCAAAAGCACCGTGTTCGGGCCTGCATTCAGTTGTTGTTGGCCCAGTGACAGCCTTTTGCAGTGACGCCACCTTCGGGATGCAGGGTCTTGGGTTGAGGCTTCGGGCTTTTTTGGGGGGGCCTAAAGAAACACCGTCCTCTGAACCATGCCCGTGTAGGTCAGAATGTTGCGCCAGCAATCAATCTCAACTTCCCTTTTGTCGACCACAAGCTTGCCTGAGCGCAAGCTGTGTTAGTAACGTTCCAAAACAAAATCTCTGTGCATCCTAGGCACAATCTGGGACGTTGGGCAGCAGCTGGACATGGAACCGTGGCGGAAGAGCTGCTTCCAGCACGATCTCCAGACTCTGCAAGGCCGCTGATTGAAGTTCAGCCTTGCACCCTCGAACTTGCAGTCCACTTGTTATCTTAGTTTGCAGAAGAATGGCTGCCACCGAGTGTAGGGTCACAGAGGGTTTAAGGTTTAGGGTCTATGGTTGAAACAGGAGGCAGTGAAAATCGCTCCGGGCAGTGTCATGGCGTCGAAGCTCAACTTCAGAGGGTGCTCCTTAACTTTGCCTCCACGGTAGTCTGCTCTTCGTAGCAGATGAAGGCCAGGATCCACGCGCCAGGTTTTGGCCACCATTTCGTTTTGACCGTCATTCCTTGGACAGTTGAAAACACAATGATGATGTGTTCTCAACAGGCAAATGACTGAAACTGAAATGCTGGCCAGACTCAACTTGGTAAACCAATTGTGGAATTTTTGGTTGCGTTTGCCCAAGCCCCAAATCTCTTCTGACCTGAACAGCAGCTGATATCCTTCTAGATGGTCCTCTTCGTGTACCTTGGGCGTTGGGCTGAAAACGTACAATGTTGGGTTTAGGGTTTAAAGTTTAGGGTTTAGGGTTGAGGGTTTAGGGTTGAGGGTTTAGGGTTTGGGGTTTGGGGTTTAGGGATTAGGGGTTAGGGTTTAGGAGAAGTGTGCAAACAAGGTGCACGATGAACCTGAAACACACCGCGAACTTTATTCCTGGTTTTCAAGAAGAGCGTGTCCGTTGGGGTGCAAGGCTCCTTCTCCGGTGTCTTCTCCGGTGTGCTGCATGATGCGGAATCAGCCACAGGCTCGGGATCTTCTTTTGCATGAAAAACTGTTGGTCTGAAATAGAGCCCAACACGAGCAGCTTCTGATCGAAGATCATCTAGCACTGCCTACCGAAATCGGAAAGGGGCCCCGGGAGCGCTAATCTGTAGCCTAAGGCATGTTTTCCCGCCTCCCATTTGGTACCCGAGAACCCAGCACTCATGTTCGGCAAAACCTTTCCCTCGCGCAGGTGGGCGTCCATCAGACCAATCTTCTTTGCGGCCTTGAGAGACATGGCCTTTCGAGCATCAAGATCCACGCACCTGGGCCGAAACGTGGGAATGGTATGTCTACTTGCTTGTCTTGAGGTGGCACGCAGAATGGTAAGCGGGCACGCACAATGCAGCATAGATTCTGGCTGATCTCACTGATTCTATCGAGAATCCATTTGGACTCTGGGTTTCCTCGAGCATGTCTGCCTGGCCGAGCAAGCAGACATGAGTTCCGTCTAAGCACGGGCACGCGGGCGAGGTCGAGCGCGTACGTGTAGGAGAGGGCAAAAAAATTTGAGGCAGCACGGTGTTGGGCAATTTTTGCCAGATTGAGGTGGAACGCAGTTTGGCATGTTGGCTCCATTTCTAAAATCCGTCTTTTTTGCATGCATTCCACCTGCATACATGCATCCTGCGTGAGGCTGGCTGTGTCGGCGTCGTTTGTGCACGAGTGCGCGCACAACAACCTCACGCGGCACGCGGGCTGCTAGTTAAAAAATAGAATGCGGAGGCAGCACGCACGCGGAATGCTGGAACGGTACGGTCCTCACGTGTGCGGGAGGTGGCACGCATAAAAGCTACTGACATGCCGGGTACGCGCAGAATGTTGAGGCAGCACGCTGTCGGTGCAAAAACACCCAGGCAACCCCCCCGCCTTCTACTGGTACTGGAAAGAGAAGAAGCCGAAATTAGCCCGGCAACCGGACCCCCGGCGTGCCTTCCTCAGGTTCGTTCACGGGAAGGGTGTCGTCGATGGCATGCTCCATCCCAAGAGGCCAGAGCTCGCAAATCCTGATGGTGATTGAGGTTCTGGAGGTAAGGGTTTAGGGTTCAGGGTTTAAAGTAAGTGGGTTGAGGGCTTAGGGTTTAGGGTTTAGGGCTTTAGGGTTTATTTAAGGGTCTTACACTGCGGTTAAAGGTTAAGGTCGAGTTGGTGTCTTAATGTTTAGTAATTTAAGGTTTACAGTTTAGGGTTTAGGTAGGGTTTAGGGTCGTACAGGATTTTGGGACTCTGATGCTCCAGAGGGGTTGTGCAACACCGTGGTCCTGGTTGCGAGACAGGCCAAAGGAAAGCGTTTCTAAATTGTATGGAAAAACACTACGAGTACAAGCGCATTAACAGAAAGATGGTTGCTGAATGCCTATGGTTGGCCTGCCTAAACACTGTACCCTAATACCCTAAACCCTATACTAAACCCTAAACCCTAAACCCTAAACCCTAAACCCTAATGCCCTTAACCCTTAGCTCTAAGCTCTAAACCCTAAACCCTAAGCCCGAAGCACCCACAACCCTTAACCCTAGACCCTAAATACCCAAGAAGTGAGTCATCCTGGGAACCAAAAAGAGCAGCTGAGGTATCGAACATGGCTGACAGCGACCACTGCTCGATCAAAAGCGAGAACATGCTTCTCGGCGGCAGCAATTCTTTTGCTGATGGCCGGCGGTAGCTGCTTCTGAGCCTAATTCCCAAGCTCCAAACTCTGATGGGATGCGAAAGACAATCGCCTGGGCGTGGGCCGATCACACGATGTTCTATCCTGTCTTTGCGATGAGTTAGACACAGGACCCATCAGATCTCAAAATCGAGGACTCGGGCTCCATCTACGCTTGAGGGTCCTCTGCGTCATTCGGTGAACGGGTGGGCGAACGATTCTCTTTCACCTGCGACAGATGGTTTCTAATCGGGTTGTGTTAAGTAGCACAAACTTGTAACAGCCTCCAAAGTCTCCAAGTGATCTCCCCAGTTCTCAAACAGCTTCTTCCCCTTGGCCGTCATCTTGCCATAGCTGACCTTTCCCTTGCGCGAGAGAAGACGCTTTACCTGTCTTCCAGTGTCAAAGACATAATTTAGAAAGAAGTCTGGACGTGCAGAGGTGCGAACGCCCCCCCCCCTCCCCCCCAAAAAAAAAGAGTGCCTGACTCTTCCGACCACACATCCTGAGCGGTTTCAACCGAGAGAATCTGCTCGTCCACGAGCACCTGCATAAAGTATGTCCGGTCCGTCCTGGGGCTGGGGCAGTCTGGGCTTCGAGCTTGATTGTGGTTTGCAAAGAAACTCACACGCGAAGTAATAGCAGAGACTCTCTGGCAAAGATTCTGGCATAGCGCGGAGAAGGTCTGGCTCAATCTGTTGGGAAAGCTGTCTAGCCTTCTTGCTTGTCAGGTTCAGGCCCAAGGAGCTCTGGGACCTCCTTCTTTTGAAGCGGGCCCCAAAAACATCCTGATCCAGATCCGAGGAATCGGCGTCCTCTTCTGCTGACTTCGCTGGCTCTGGCTCTTCAGACGGTGAATCAGGTGGGCTGGGCACACTGGGCTCGGGTTCCGGCGAGTCCTCCTTTCGAGACTCCTCCTTTCGAGACTCCTCCTTTCGAGACTCCTCCTTTCGAGACTCCTCCTTCCGAGACTCCTCGTTTACAGAGCCCTCCTTTCGAGACGCCGTCTTGGCAGGTTTGGCAATTTCCCCCTTGGGTTTCTTCTCTGCTTTCCGGTCCCCAGTGAGCACAGCCTTCAGCTCCCCCCCCCGCCTCCTGGCA